CAGCGCCAAAACGCTGCACAGTAAAAATACATGAAAATTTAAAATGGACTACCTAGAAAGTATAAACCCCTCTTTTAGTTGCTCGAGATCAATGCACCTAGGCCACTAGCTCGCTTAACAAGGCCAAAAAAAGCTTATTTTTAAACAAGCAAAACTGTCTGTAGAATTTGCTGATTATTCCGTTGGATTAACTACACTAGCGATTTTAGTGGCCTTCAGCTTGCTTCTGAAAAATGTTCACACGAAAGGACGGCTGCCTATTTGGGATTTGTTCTAGCTAAGTCTAGATGTGCAAAATTGTGATGGATTAAGCCAGAAAAGCATAGTTGCTGCGGTTGTCTGCGAACCCTGAAAACAAAAATTTATTCGAAAAATCAAATTATTGCAAATAAAAGTTCTATGTACATTTTTTAAATGACAAACATGTCAAGTATTTATGCAAACCATCTTTTTTATAGTCAACTCGCGGAACTTTGTATGCATTTTAGGAAAAATGCTTGAAGCTTCTCAAAAACTAGTGCTCTTTTGCCGCTTTTTTAGTACTAAGCAGTGCCAAGGGCCTCCAAATTTTTCACGCATTTCTGCAGAAGATTCATATGACGCATCTTCAACAAGCATATTCTTCTGCAAAAATTACTATGAACATAATCAGTACTCTTCTTGAAAACAAAAAAATTTTTTTTATACAGTACAAGACTATACTGCTCGTCCAGTCGACCTCATTCTTCCCTCATGTCCCTCAACCCTTTACAGCTTCCCTTCTTACTCTCATTTTCCTCATACTTTCTGGCTATGCTAAGGATTACTTTGTTTATTAACCAAACAAGATTAAAAAAATCTGATGGAAGATTTGGTTAACGAAGATACTCTGTGTTTTGGTGCGGGTTAGGTTCAGCACTCTTTTTGAAACCTATCCACTATCAGCTGCATTTCTCTCCTACTTTTTTTTCTCTTCTCTACAGCTTTTGCACAATAACTTTCGCTACCCAGCAGAATGGGTACTCTATTATTTCGCCCACTGCTTAATATTTCGTCAGCTTAGCGATGAAACACAAGCAGAGTATTTTGAATTTATGATATTACCGTAGTCTGGGTTCATACTGTTCTTTTCTAATTCTTTTCTCCTTTTTCTGCTTCATATTCACTGTTACCATATTTTATTACTAAAATTTTATCCGGACTTTTAGCTGGATTCGTTTTCCAGAAATGTTTCTACCTTTAATATTGTGCTATGATGTCCTTCACTTCCCACCCCTTTTCATCTTTCGCTTTCTTCTCTCACAAATCTCCCTGCTTTACATAAAAGTTCTATTTCCAATATTAAATAACTAAAGAATCGCCCAAAAAGTTTTGTGCCAATTAGTTGATTTTTTAGTGTCCGTAATTGGCAGCTTTTTTTGTTGTATACACAATACTTGCTACCTTAGCATTATTTTCCTAA